GCCCCTGCGCGCCTCTGCGCGGCCCGCGGCCGCGCGCCCCTGTCCGCAAACGCGCTCTGCGTGGGAAACGGCGCGGGGGCGCAGAATGAAGGCAAAAGGGGATACACCTGATTGGGCAACTCGGGGCAGATCCAGAGATCTCCCAGGACGTCTGGAGCAGGCCGTGGCCGCTCCAGCGCGAGTCGAGGGACGGCAGAAGTCGTTAAGCCCTGAAAGAGGGAGGGGGGGTCGTCAAAGGAGCGAAGCGGCGGAAGGCTCGGAGTCGGACCTCCAGGAGCTGTAGGCTCCCTGGTTCTTTTTCGATCTTGCCTTCGTGCGGCATCGACGCATGGTCCGCTCCAGCGAAAAGGAGCGAAATCATGAGGGCCCTGTAAGCCCTCGCAATGCCGTGTTTGGAGTGCGTCAGCGCCGATTGGCGTCCGGCAGTCGCTGAGAGCGCGCCGATGCGGCGTCGATCAGCGTCGACTTGGTGTCGATGAGCGTCGGCCAGCGTCGATGGGCGTCGACTCGCAAGAGCGCCAACATATAGTATGGGAGGCTCCCGTGATCGCAGGCGATTTTTCTCTCCCTCCATCCCAGAGTTCTGCCCGAGAAGTTCGGCCGCTCGGAAAGGGGGGGCACCTTGGGATACACCCCAAGGGGAATATCCGGACGCACCCGTATCGAGGATGGTTGGGCGCTGCGTACTGGGGGGATCGTAAATGGGGGGGCGGCGAGTGTGGTCCGAAAAGGTACCCAAATGGTACCTAAACGAGCCCCCTGGGGCTCTGGAGGGGCCCGAAAGGGGCACGAAAGGGGACCTTTTCTGACCCCCCCATTTGTGACCCCCCCATTAAGCCACGCCCAAGATGGACGCCCCCCAATCGTATATCCCAGGGCTGGGACCCAAATTTCTAGTTCATTCGAAGATCCCACGAGAGAAGGCCTTCTCAGAAGGCGGCGGGGCTTCTCAGAAGACCCCCGGCCCTTGACAGGCGTACTCTGCCTTCGGGGAGGGCTTAGGAAGCTTCTCGGCAGGCCGGGAGACTTCCGAGCCTTTGAGAAGGCCCGCCCCGTCCCGCTTCCCTCGGGCCGGGCGAAAGGGGAGGATTGGGAAAGGGGGGGTTACGAAATTTGCTGCATGCAGCTGGTTCCGGCCTCACCGAGGGGCCCATTCCTCGATACATAGCCGCCTCTGGCGCCGGGAGGCGCCGGGAAAATCAGCTACGTGAGCTGATTCTCAACCCCCCCCTTTGCTATCCCCCCCTTTCGCCCGACCCGATTCCCCCCCGGGCTCGCCGCCGAAATGGGTGCCCACCGAGGGGAGGGATCACGGCGGCCCGTGGCGAGGCCCGTGGCGGGATCCGCGCGGCGGTCTCAGACCTCTCGGCTCCGCGGCGGGGGCTTTGTATCCATCACCACCGCCCGGGGGAGGTCGGAGTGGGTACCCATCGGTCGTTGAAAGTGGGTATTTTGGGGTTCTGTTACTCCAATCTACGTAATGCGCCTGCTTTCTTCGATGATCCAGTGGCTTCACCTACTTGCACCGCCTTCCTACTTCATGTTTCTACCTACTTATTCCGACCGATGGGCACCGCTCAGGGGAGGCCGAAATGGGTACGGAAAGAGTGGGTACGATGCCGAATTGCAGTTCCTGTTCATTTTGAGCAGGACTCGTCGTCGATGTCGCCGCGGACGTGGTCCTCTTGAGGCAGAAGGCCGCCTGCCCAACGGCGGTCGCTGTTGGTCTGGGACAGCATTTGCTGTTGAGCATCGTGCCCATGTTTCCGTACCCATTTCGGACGTCCGAAACCGCCCAGAGGATCGGTTCTCGGGGATTTCGGCAGGTGGTGCCTGCGGATATCTTCGGGCCCACTGGGGCCAAATCCTCAGAGGAGGAAAGGGTACCCATAACGACCCTTCCGTCGTTTTCCCCTTTTTGGGCCTCCTGGGAGGCCCTCGCCGCTACCGCTGGGTTCGCCTCGAAATCTGGGTCAGAACGCACCCCAGGAGAGGTCCAGGGGGCAGCGGTATCGGTACCCTTGCGTCTCCCCAAAATCCATCCAGCTCCACCGCCCGCTTGGTCCCAGGACGTCGGCTTCCTCGGCAGTGGCTGTGGATTGATCCGGGCCCCCTGGGGCCAAATCCATCCGGCTCCACCGCCCGCTGGAATACCTCTGAGACGACCCCCGAGCAAATCCCGCGCCTCCCACCCAGGATATCGGTGCGGCTCCAGCTTGAAGGCCCTGGCAGGAGGCACAGGCCTCGCGAACGCGTCAGGATTTTTCCTGCCAGCTCCTGTACGTGAGGCATCCTGGCCCAGACAGCTGCTACCAAGGCCCTGGGCCCTCTTCGGAACAGCGGCGTGCTCACCGCAGGTGATGCAAAAAGGTACGTAGGCAGGCCGTCGAGTCCAGGACGTCAGCTCCCCTGGCGGTGGCTGTGGATCTTCGAGTAGGGGATTGACTACAGACATGACTTACCCCACAATTGATGTTCTCGTCGAGTCTACGGAAACATACCTAGAATCCTCAGTGGACTTACGAACATTCTACGCATGCGTCGTACATTCGATGGGGAAAATCGATTTTGGGGTGAAGCAATTGTTGACGCTTCGCGAATCCCCACCAGCCCATCCAGAAACGATGCCCAGAGGAATTGCCTCGATCAGGGAAGCGGGCAGCACACAGAGGAAGGGTCCCCCAGTGGAGGCTTCTTGGATCGTCTTGGGGGCCTCTTGGCGGTCCCGGACGCCTCTTAGAGCGTCTTGGGTGCCTCGGAGAGCTTTTTGGGCCTCTTGGTGGTCTCTTGGGAGCCTCTTCGAGGCCTCTTGGGCGCCTGTTGGGGCCTCCTGGGGCCTCCTGGACGCCTCTTGGGGCCCTCTTGAAGCGCTCTTGGCAGCCTTGGGAGCGCTCTTGGAGCCCTCTGGGGCCATGTTGGAGCCATCTTGAGGCCTCGGCGAGAAAGCCCAAAACATGGATTTCCCTGAGATTAGAAGGACTTTGGCCTCTTCGGGGCCTCCTGGGGTAGCTCTTTGGCCACTTGGAGCCGTCTTGGAGCGGTCTTGGGGCCTCTTGGAACATCGTGGGCGCCATCTTGAGGCATCTTGGGATATCTTGAGCCATCTTGGAGATCATCTTTGATTCTCCCAGGCGCTCTTGGAGTCATCTGAAGCAGTGCCCCCCCCCCCCCAGGAGGCCAACATGTGGCCAACACCTGAGTAAAATCAACGATTTTGGCATTGTCGCCGAGGCCTTTTGGAGCGTCTTGGGTGCCTCTGGGGGGCCTCTTGGGGCCTCGTGGAGGTCTCTTGTGAGCCTCTTGGGGGCTTCCTGCGGGCCTCCTGGGTGCCTCTTGGGGCTTCCTGGCCACCTCTTGGGGCCCTCTTGGGGCACACTCGGGAGCATTGGGGGCCATCTTTGGGCCATCTTGGGTGAGATCGATCACAGGAGGGTTCCCCCCCAGGAGGCCAAAATGGGGCCAGAACAAAAGTAAAATCAATGATTTTGGTTTCCACGCCGAGGCCGTTTTGGACGCTCCGACGACTCGCGACCCCCCCCCGTCCAGGTCCATGGGGAGGGGGTAGGGGGAGGGGTCAAGTTACCCCCTCCCCGCCCGCAAGCCGTCTCGCTCACTCCCACCCGCCCTCCCAACACATACGTAGCACCCGAGTTTGGCCCGAGCCTCAGCATATTCAGCAGTCGTCTTGGGATGGGCAGCTACTGGGGGCCAACCCGCCGCCGCCGCCTCCGCCGCCGCCGCCGCCGCCGCCGCCGCCGCCGCCGCCCGCCGCCGCCGCCGCGCCGCCGCCGCCGCCGCCGCCGCCCGCCGCCCCGCCGCCGGTCGACGCCGCCTCACCGCCGCCGCCGCAGCCGCCGCCGCCGCCGCCGCCCCGCCGCTGCCGCCGCCCCCCGCCCCGCCGCCGCCCCCGCGCCGCCGCCGGCCCGCCGCAGCCGCAGCGCCGCACACGCCGCCGCAGCCGCCGCCGCCGCCGCCAAGTGTACTCTGTATGGTATTGTGCTCTGACACGGATGGGTGGGGGGGGGCGCATCGGGTTGGCTGCGCATGTTCGACCGAATTTGGGGACAGAGTGTGTTTTGTATTGTTTTTTACAAGGGATGGTGGGGATGTCGGCATGGACCCTGGTTGGCCCCCAGTCGCCTGAGGGAGGGGTGGTGGTGTTTATAATAGGGAACAGTGAATTCAAGTCCCCCTCCCGCCCCGCAAGCCGTTTCTCGCTCACTCCCACCCCGCCGTCCCAAACACATAAAAAGCACCCGCCCCACCCCGCCGAACCGCAGAATGCAGCAGTCTGTCTTGGATGTGCAGCTATGGGGGCGAATCCGCCCCGCCGCCGCCGCCGCCGCCGATGCCCGGCCGCCGCCGCCGCCGCGCCCGCCCGCCGCCGCCGCGCCCACCGCCGCTCGCCCGCCGCGCCCGCCGCCGCCGCCCCGCCACGCCCCGCCCGCCGCCCGCCGCCCCCGCCGCCCGCCGCCGTCCGCCGTCGCCCCCCGACGCAGCGAGCCGGCCCCGGCCGCCTCAGCCGCTGCCGCCGCAGCGCTTGCCGCCGCCCGCGCCGCCTGCCCCCGCCACCCCCGCCGCCCCCGCCGCCCCCGCCGCCCCCGCCGCCGCCGCTGCCACCGCCGCCACCGCCGCCGCCACCGCCGCAGCCGCCGCAGTCGTTGCCCCCGCTGCAGCCGCCGCAGCTACCGCCGCCGCTATGTGTACTCTGCATTGTTTTTTTGATAGGGATGGTGGGGGGAGGCCGCATCGGGTTCGATGCGCATGTTTCGAATTTTGAGGCAGAGTTTATTTTGTATTGTTTGTTACAAGGGATGGTCGGGGGGTGCCCGCATTGACCCTGGTTGGCTCCCAGTCGCCGGTGTGTGTGTATATTAATAGGGAACAGTGGTAAACCACCGACGCCCAGAGGGCTGGTGGGATTCTGTAGCCGATCCCTTACTCGAGATCAATCCCCGCGTCGCCTCGGCGGCTGGCCGGGCGCGCGCGCGCGCGCCGAGGCCGGCACGCCCAGCGCGCTGGTGGACTCCGGCGCCGCCCCGGGCGCCGCAGCCGAAGGCGTTCCCGCGGGGGGCCCGCGTGGAGAGCCTCCTCGGTCGGGTTCCGCACCCCGCCCACTGCTCTGGCATCTTTGTTCGCCCACCCCCCCCCCTCGCCGCCGTCCTCCATGCCTTGAGTGGGGGACCGGCGGCAGAATCGACTTGCCCGAAGAAAACACAACGGCATAAACATAAGAATGTTTGACGCTTCGCGCGGATTTCTTGGATCCGCGCTGGGGCCCCCAGGGCGGCGCCTCCGGCGCCGCCCCTGGCGCGCTCCGCGCGCCAGGGAGGGTGTTCAACGCAGATCTGAGAAATCCGAACGGAGCGCCAAACAGTTTCTGTTTATGCAGCTGCTCCTTCTTCTTTTGGCATCCTTTTCGCCCCCCTCCTCGCCGCCGTCCTCCATTTGAGTATGTTCCTGGGCCAGGTCCCCTGCCTTTAGAAAGAGCTGCGCGCAGAAACCTGGCAGCTTCTGTTTCTGGTCGTCGGTGCAGCTTTGGAGGCAGGCGTCGGCGCGTCGCCCAGGGCGGCCAGTTGATCCCAAGCGGACATTGCAGATTGAAAGCGAAAGTGGCACGCCTCCCGAGCGCCCTGTGCCCCGACCCTCTAGACCTGGACCCCCAGGCATACTCAATCCTCCATGCCTTGAGTGGGGGATCGGCTACAGAATTGATTGATACCCCAGAAGTGACTTGTTCGCCGAATCTACGAATATATGTAGACTGCCCCGTAGATCCACTAACACCTATGCATTGTTTGGTAAACTCGATGAGAAAATCGAGTTTGGGTAAAGCGATTCTGTAGTCGATCCCCCAATCGAATGCCCCCACCACCACCCTTCTCCTCTTCCACCACCTTCGCTCTCGTCCTGCCTCCGCCCCCCCACCCCTTCCCCCCATCCTTCAGCCTCCTCGACGCTCTGCTTCCTTGTTCGCTCTCTCTCTCTCTCCTGCACGCTCTCTCCCCTCACACCTCTTGTGTCTTCATCTGCCTTCCCCTTCCTCCTTCACTGCCCGGAACCGCGTTTCAAGTTGCCCGTAGCAGATGCAACAGTTGAGCTGGTGCATTTCTCCGGCGGTATTCCCTCGGGCATTCTGCTCCGACAATTTTGCTCGCGGTCGCTGGCATACATCAGGGCATCCATCTCGACCCTGATTGCTCGCTTCCGAGTGCTTCAGCAGGAACGCCTGATCATAGAGGGGAAGCTACGTTGTTCCAGTTCCCTGACAGCGTGCATCTCATGTGCCCACGGACAGCTTCGTCTCGGGCGTGCTTGAACCCTGCTAATCCTCGGGGTGGGCCTTGCGTGCTGCTCGGGTGCTGCAGTGGCTGGGATGCGGTGCTACGTGACGCAGACTTCAAATGTGAGCGCTGTCTGATGCAGCGCGCCACGGAAACATGGTGCCCCCGTGGCGAGTTGCTGGAAAGTAGTTTGAATTATTCAAGTGGCTTACGCCTTTTCCGTCGACCCCCACGAGGAGTGAGTGTCTGAGACGATCGTGGAAGTTCTATCTTGGGTCAGGAGACTCTTGGATGCATATTGGGGGCTCTCGGGGTGATTCGCGGGGGCCTCTTGAGAGGCTTTGGGGGGCACCTGGCAGGCTTTTTGGGGCCTCGTGGGGGGCCTCCGGGGGGGCTTCTTGGGGGCGTCTTAGAGCGGCCTCGGGGGGCTCTGGAGAGCTCGAGGGGCCATCTTGTTAGGAAAGGCACGACAAGTCAATTCGTATTCCCTCTGTTGGACTTTCTTGAGCCCTCTTGGGGCACTCCAGGAGCTGTCTTGGGCCTTGTTGGGGGGCCCCTGGCGCTATCTTTGGGCCCTCTTGGGCCGTCTTGGGGCCTTCTTGGAGGCATCATGGGCCGTCTTGGGACGGTTTTGGTGCCCTTTTGGGCGTTGGTGTTCGCTGTCGATACGTAAAATGCGAGTGTGCTGAACGTGCGCGTTTTTTTTTCTCCAAGGGAATAGGATTGGCCTCTCGGGGCCCTCTCGGCGATCCTTTGGAGGCGCTTTGGGGCTGTTTGGGGGGCATCGTGGGCCATCTTGAAGCCATCTTGGATCGTCGTGGGGCCACACTGGGCAGTCACGGCGCTCTCTTCGACTGTCTTGGCGCTCTGTCTGGGCCCTGTTGGGCTTATTCGGTGCTCCGGAGGCCCCGAGGAAGCGTTGAAGCGCTCGTGCCCCCACCACCCTTGGCCCCCCCCCAGGCCCCCTTCCCTCCTGTTGGCGTTTTTTGAGCTCCAAGGGAGGGGTAAAGGGGGAGAGGAGCAGCCAATTGTCTAACACGCCTCTTCTTACCCCCGCCAAGCGGGGGTCGGCGGATTATTACATTCATACCTTCTGGTCAAGACGGAGGTATTAGACAAGTTAAAGGTGGACTCTTCTCGATTGGTAGGGTTTTGCTTCAGGTGCGTCGATAGTATATGGCGCCTGGCTAACGCACGTTCTTAATGCAACGTCGTTGCATCTTTGCTTGGCTGTCACGCGTTTGGGTGCAAATTTCTGGTTGGGGCTTATTCGGCGTCTCAGGTCTGTACGTTAACCTGGTCTGCGCGTGTTTGACACGTCCACCACGCCCACCTAGGACTGAGCGCTCGCTTGCGCAACAGCAAACCACGTATTGCTCTGCTGTTGCAAGACCCGCGAGTCAGATAGCGACCGTGAGGATTATCAAAATGACAATGACATACAATGGCATGGTCCCCGCCGCAGGGTGGCATTGACGAGCGAAGTGTAGGCGACATTTGGCACACGTGTTGCCGCGAACGCGAATGTATTCAGAGCGAGGCCGTCGAAGGTGGCGACGGCGGTGGCCGGCACTGCGATGGCGGCGCTTCTTGTGACGGCGACGACGGCAGTGACGATGCTGCCGGGAAGGGCGACGGTGACAGTGGCGATGGCGGATGTGGGCGAAGCTTCTACGACCAAACGCGAACCCTGCGCCAGAATTAGCGCGCAAGCTGCCGGCCCGCGTAGGCCACCGCTTAAGGAGACTATGCCATCTCGCGTAAGACCCCTTGCTCCCCGTCGCCCACATGTGGTTGCCCGAACACGGTGGGCGGCGGCGGCCGCTGTCGTCCACCGAGGCACCCCGCGGCGTCCGGCAGCCGCGGTGGCGCCCCCCTCGGCGGTGGCGTCCCCGCGCCAGGCGCGGCCGCGGCGCCAGAGCCGAGCGGCAGCCGCGCGGGGCCACGGGGAGCCACGGGCGGCCTGCGTTCGTCTGGCAGCCCGTCGAGGCGCCGCGGACGACGACGACGACGGCGACGACCTCGACGACGACGACGACGACGACGGTGGCGGCGGCGGCGGCGGCGACGGCGACGGCGACGGCGACGGCGACGGCGACGGCGACGGCGGCGGCGGCGGCGACGACGACGACGACGACGACGACGGCGACTGCCGCGGCGACGACGACGACGGACGACGACGACGACGACGACGACGACGACGGACGACGGACGACGGACGACGACGACGACCGGGCGGGCCTGCCCCATGGCGGACCGAGCGAGAGTACAGAGGGCCGCCAGGGGGTCGGACGGGGGGCGGGGAAGAGGGACGCGGGAGGCTGAGGAGGAGCATGGGACGGAGGGGGGAGGGGGGAGGGGGGAGGAGGGATGAGGGAGGAGTGGAATGAGGATGAGGATGTAAAATGTAAGATGTACATTATGTGTCGGGTATAGGAGAATGAGGATGTGAGAGGAGGCTGTGGAAGGGGGTGGTGAGTGAAGGGAGGGGGAGGCGGCAGAAGGGGGGGGGGGCGGAAATTGGTATTCGGTGGGCGGAAACGGTTGGGGATAGGCGCTTAGGACTGGGGGAAAGGAGGAGAGGAAATGGGGGATGAATGCACACGCGCGAGCAGATATGCATCATCTCACGTAACTCATCTTCCAGACACGATGACGTCGTGCTCGACTTACTTCTTAAATCCGCATGTGTATTTGTTTGCGGTCTGCGTCTGGGGGCGCGCCCCTGAGCGCACGGGAAAGGGTCAATCGCAGCAGGATGTGTCGATGGCAGAGCTGGCGAACACAGTAGTGCAGGAGGAGCAGGGGCAGGAACATCGTGTGAGCGAGGGAGATGATTTTCAGTTTGCCAGGGGCAAGTAGGAACAGCATATGTTTGTCCATATATTGATATATGCATACGTACACACATACATGCATACATACATACGTACGTACCTACGTACGTACATACGTACATACGTAGATACGTACATACGTGCAGACGTACATACATGCATTCATGCACTCATGCATATACATACATACATACATACATACATACATACATACATACATACAGGCATGCATGCATGCATACATACATACACACATACATACAGGCAGACAGGCAGACAGACATATACATACATATACAGACATATATACATATACACATACATATACATATACATATACGTATATATACATATACGTACATACACACATACATACATACATACATACATACACATGTGCACACACATACATACATACATACATACATACATGCATACATACATACATACATACATACATACAAACATACATACATACACACACATACACACATGCATACATACATACATACATGCATGCATGCAAGCATGCATGAATGCACGTATACATACATTCATACATACACACCTACATACATACATACATACATACATGCATACATGCATAGATGCATGCATGCATACATCCATACATGCATACATGCATACATGTATACATACACACATACATACATACACATCCACACACACATACATATATACATACATACATACACACGTGTACAAACACATACATACATGCATACAAACATACATACATACATGCATACATACATACATATATGCATGCATGCGTACGTACGTACGTACATACATACACGTACGTACGTACGTACGTACATACATACATACATACATACATACATACATACACACACACACACACATACATACATACATACATACATACATACATACATACATACATACATACATACATACATACATACATACATACATACATGCATACGCACACATACATACATACATACATGCATGCATGCATGCATACATAATACCCCGCCCTGGCCCCGGGTGCCACACCTCGCCGTGACATCTCGGGAACGCTCTCGGCACCGCTCCCCCGGGCGTTCCGGTGAGCCTCCACAGCGCTTCAGGAGGGCCCAAGACGACTCCAAGGAGCCCCCAGAATGCGAAAGGATGGTCCAAGGCGCTCCCAAGCAGCCCAAGCTCCCAGAAAGGAACACGGGAAGCCTTTGAGGGCCCTAGATCGTTGAATATCTAAAAGAAATCAAATGATTTCTGCGTTTCCGCCTTTCCCCTTCAAAACGATTCCGAGGCTTGCGCCTGGCCTCCAAGGGAGCCCCTGGACGCAAGAAGCGACCAAAATGATATTCCTACCGGCGTGTGATACCCAGGGCCCCTCCTGCGTGTGGCCGATGAACCTGGCTCCGGCCTCGCTTGCAGAGCTCCCTTGAGGCCTGCGGCTCCCGGCGCCCCGCCGCCGTCCTCGCCCGCGGGGCCGCCGGGCGGGGCGCCGCGGCCGCCTCCGTGGGCTGGGCCGCGGCTCGGAGAGGAGCGCCGCCGCGGCCAGCTCCTCCTCCTCCTCCTCCCGCTCCTCCTCCTCCTCCTCCTCCTCCTCCTCTCATCCTTCTCCTCTCCTCTTTCCTCCTCCTTCCTCCTCCTCCTCCTCCTCCTCCTTCTCCTCCTCCTCCTCCTCCTTCCTCCTCTCCCCCCCTTCTCCTCCTCCTCTCCTTCTGCCCCCCTTCTCCTCCTCTTTCCTCCTCCTCCTCTCCTCTCCTCCTCTTCCTCCTCTCCTCCCCTCCTTCCTCCTCCTCCTTCTCTCCTCTTTCCTCCTTTCTTCGGCCCCCTCCTCTTCTTCCTCCTCCTCTCCTCCCCCTCCTCCCCTTCCTAGTCCTACTCCTCCTCCTCCCCCTCCCCCTCCCCCTCCTCCTGCAACAGTGGTTCGCGCATCCGCATATTCGCCCGTTGGTGTATCGTGCGTGGCCCATCGTGTACAGGAAGCTATCGGCCATGCCTCCCCTACGGCGGTCAAGGTGGGCTCGAGGGCCCAGGGTGGCAGCCAGAGTCACCTACCAAGTGGCATTTCTCGGAGGACGTGACACGGCAATTCCCTGAGGAAACGTACCAGCCCCAGCTTGTGCTGAACAACGTCCAGACCTTCTTCGAGGATTTTGACACATTTGCTGCACAATGTTGCTGGCAGAAGGCCGCGGAGCATTTCTGTGGCAGCGGGCTGCAGGGTGGAGTGGACAACTACTCCCTGCAGTGGTTGCTGAAGTGACTCGAGGCTCTTCCACGTAAGCGGCGGAGCAGATGCCACCAACGCCGAAGCCTACAGGCGATCCGACGAGCTGGCACCCGCAGCCGCTGCGCAGCACGAATGTGACCAGGCATTCTGGTTGCGAGGCCTCATCCCAAAGGCCTGGACAGAAGTCGCTGCCCCGAGCGAGGTCGAATCGTGGCTCGGCAGCGGCGTTTTTCGTAACGGCGTGATCGACGGAGCGTTGGGGGCAGGATCTTCGAGTCAGCCAGTTGCCATGTTAGAGAGCACCTGGAGGCCTCGACTCGAGGGACCCTCGATTCCGCCGAGTCGGGTGTGGTTTGGTTGTAGTGGAGAGCGAGAGTGACCTCATTATCCGTGGAGTTGTGATGGGACCCTCAACTGGGAGCCAGACGGTCCCATGAGGTGAGATGTACATGTTATGGTTAGTGCTACGTCTCGCGCTCGATCACGTTGTCTATATCACCGGCAATCAGTCGGTCGATGAAGGTTTGGTATGATCGTACGTATGAGAAGCCTGCAGGCGGAGCTTCCGCTGAGCTGTGGGCCTTGATCGGCACAGAGCTGGTCAGAAGGCTAGCTTAGCATGTCGTAGTCTTGTTTGTCAATTCGCACATGACGGCGGTGCAGACATCAGAGGCCCATGTGGCAAGCTGGCTTGTGGCTGGCAATGCCATGGCTGACGTCGTCGCGGGCAAGGCGGCGGAGATGACTAAACTCCCGATCCACGAGCGGGCTCGAGTTACCCAGGTGGACCGGCGGGCCTTCCTTGTTTGTCTGAGATTGATATGTGCTGCTGCCGATGCCATGGAGGCAGAGGAATGCATTGTGCGGGCGACCGAGGCCAGAGGAGAATGCGCCCAGCCTCTGAGTGAGAGCCGCAAGTCTCCTCGCCCTCCTCCTCCGTTGCCTCCGTTGGTTTCCGCCTTGCCGTCATGGCTTCCGCCGAGTCCCCCTGCCTTATCTACCCTGACCAGCTGTCACGTGCTCGGCGACCCGGGGCGTCGGTGCCGTCATTGCCGCAGCTCCGCGTCGATCGCGGCAGCTCGCAGGTGGCGGGCCTCGCCGTGTTGCAAGCTGGTTGCGTCAGACGGTGTGCTGAGGGCCCTTCCCCAGAAGGCGGAGTTGCGCATCGCTGGGGGGTTGGGTGCACGGGTCTCGCAAGGTGCGGTATAGTCAGTCTGTTGAAGTGCGGTGTTGTGCAGTGTGTGGCATGGCTGTTCATCAGCAGCTTCGGGGGTTAGGGGAGAAGTGTACGCGTAAGGCTGCCCTAGCCAGAGCTGGATACCGTTCCCGAATTCTTGAATCCATGTGGCCCACGGTCTACAGTCAGACCCAAAAGGCTTCCAGAGCACAGAATGGGCTCCACTTTTGAGCGCTTCGTTTGGACATCTGCCCTGGGACTCTGACGCTTACTCTTATTCCTCCCATTCGCACTCCGACGCAAGTGTTTAAGGCGGGTCCTGGCGTTTCGCCTGAGACTCCCTCACCACTTATGACCCTGCTTAATACTTGGCAATTGTTTTACAGATGGAGGGCGGGTCGTTTTCAAAATGTGGCTCTCGCGCCGCGCACATTCGTTTTCAAGAAATTAGAAGAGCCTCACACATTGAAGGTGGTTCTTTTTCAAAGTGTGGTTTTCGCTTTAGCGCCGCGCACACTCGTTTCCAAACTTTGCAAGAATTGCACGGATTGTGGGCGGATGGTCTTCAAAAAGTGGCTCTCGCCTCTGCGCCGCGCGCGTTCGTTTTGAACACTGCAAGAGCTTCACGGTTGGGGCGGGCGGTCTTCAACCTGTGGTTCTCGCCTTAGCACCGCGTGCATTTGTTTGGAAAACGCAAGACGTTCACGGATTGGGGGCGGTTCCTTGTCAATGTCTAGCTCTCGCCTTCGCGACGTTTTTTTTTGTTTGGTGTTTTTTTTGAAGATACAACAACATAGCAATAACTGGTGTTGTGGATGGGTTCGAGACCAGGAGGGCGCAACAGTTACGCTGATTCGCGGTGTTGGAGCTCAGGAGTGGCATTTTGGCGCACTTCAGGGCCGTCGAGAAGCAACAGTCAAGCTGATCCGTGGCGTTGGAATCCCGAGAGCAATGGTTTGGCATGCTTCAGGGTCCTCAAACGGTTGTCGTCCAACGAGACAGTTCTCTCAGTGGAAATGAACCTTGCAGGGGCCTGTAAGAGGGAGTTAGGAGGCAGGGTGTATCCCAACATCGTTGATGATTCTTGGCTTTTCACTGGTCCTCCTCCTCGTGCACTTCCTCCCCCTCCTCCTCCTCCTCCTCCTCCTCCTCCTCCTCCTCCTCCTCCTCCTCCTCCTCCCCTTCCCCCTCCTTCCCCTCCCCCTCCTCCTCCTCCTTCTCCTCTTCCACCTTTCCTTCCACGCAACGTCTCCTTGTCGCACCCGGAGGCCTGTTTTCAAGGCGGGCCGGGCGTCTCGCCTGAGGCATCCTCACCATTCATGGCCCTGGAGCTTAAAAAGTGGCAACAGCTTCACTGATGGAGGGCGGGCTGTTTGCAAAATGTGGCTCTCGCCGTAGCGCCGCGCACATTCGTTTCAAAAGATTTTAAGCATTTCGCGGATTGAGGGCGTGTGGTGTTCTTAGCGCCACGCGCACTCGTGTCGAACAATTGCAGGACCTTCGCGGTTTGAGGGCGGGTGGTTTTCAAAATGTTGTTCTCGCCTGCGCGCCGCGCGCATCTGTCTTTATCAATTGCAATAGTTTCAAGGATTGAGGGCGGGTGGTTTTCAAACTGTAGTTTTGGTATTAGCGCCACGCACATTCTTTTATAACATTTGCAAAAGCTTCACGGAGTGAGGGCGGTTTCATTTCAATGTGTGGCTCTCGCCTTAGCGGCGCGCGCATGTTTCAATTTTGCAAGAGTTCCACGGGTTCCCAAGATCAGCGTACCAGAACTTATGTTTTGGACGGGCTCGGGATTATGGGGACGCAACCGTTAAGTTGATTCGCGGTGTTGTAGTCCAATGAATGGCGTTCCGCAACAGGCAGGCTGATCCGTGGCGTTGGAATCCCGAGAGCAATGGTTTGGCATGCTTCAGGGTCCTCAAACGGTTGTCGTCCAACAAGACAGTTCTCTCAGTGGAAATGAACCCCTTGTAGGGGCCTATGAAGAGAGAGCTTGGAGGGAGGGTGTATCCCAACATCGTTGATGACTCTAGGCTTTCAACTGGTCCTCCTCCTTCTCCTCCTTCTCCTCAATCTCTTCCTGCTCCCCACTCCCCTCCCCATCCTCCCCATCCTCCTCCTGCTCCTCCCCGTGCCCCTCCTCGTCCTTCTCCTCCTCCTTTCCCTCCTACTACTCCTCCTCCGCCTCCTCCTCCTCTTCCTCTTCCTCATCCTCCTCCCTTTCCCCCTCCTCCTCGTCTTCCTCCTCTTCTTCCTGCTCCTCCTCCCTCTCCTCCTCCTCCTCCTCCTCTTCCTCCTCCTCCTCCTCCTCCTCCCCGCTTTTGGGCCCTCTTGGGCGCCTCTTGGGCCATCTTGGGGCCTTCTTGGGCCGTCTGGGGGGCCCTCTTTGGGGCCTCTGAGGGCGTCTTGGAGCGTCGGGGGCGATCTTGGGGCCTCGTGGGGCCGTCTTGGAGTGGCGGGAAACCGAATGGCGCGAATACTGAAGGAACCACCGAGTGAAAATCAATAAATTCTGCCTCGTGGGGCTCTCTTGGGACGCCTCTTGGAGGCCTCGGGGGGTGTCTTGGAGGCCTCTTGGACCGTCTTGGGGGCCGTCCTGGGCATCTTGGAAATCTTTTCGACCATCTCGGAGGTTTCGTTGAGCCCTCCTGGGGCCTTTCTGGGGCCCTCTGCGCATATGTTTGGGCCCTGTTTGGCGGGGTCGCCGTCCCAGAATCCCAGGCGGCACACCCCAGCAACGCCACGGAGGGCCCCGCGGCGCCGGGGAAACCGGGTGTCCGGGCCCTTGTAGAATTTCCGAACACCGGAACCTCTCAGGGCTGCAAGAGCCTTTGGGCACTCTGCTGCGTGCTGAAGGCACGGTAGCGGCCCTACTAGACTTCGTCAGGGGGCCGACAGAAATCGGATCCGCGGCACCCAGGCCCGCCGTTGTTCAGATTCTACAGGGGGGGAGTTTGGGTTACGAGCTGCTGCAGACAGGTCGCGCGTTGTTCCACGGACCACGCACCCCTATCAACCCTCACCGCACACGGGTCTCACCCAACATGGATGCATGTTCTTCATCCCCCGGTTGCTGCAAGCAGCTCGTGCAGATTCCGTGCGCCTGTTGGCGCCGAGGCTCTCTCACCAACCGCATATCGCCGCTGGCGCCTCAAGAGGAACCTCCTTCGTCCTGCATGTATTTTCCCAAGCGTTGCGTGTTGCTGCTTTTGATGTCACGTCATCGTCGTATCCAGCGTTGGAGAAGCGAACAGAGGATTGGCGAAACCAGTCTGGGTGGCAACTCGAGTGGGCCATCGCCCAGAGCACCAGAGGGAGTACCTCTGTGGTCCAACCTGCCCTGCAGCTTCTGTCATCAAGCCATCTAGGCACGCATCGGTGCAATGCCATCTTTTGCCGAGATACAGTTGCAAGTGCCACCTCTTTGCCACCCCTTGATATCATCCCTGTCATCTCCCCTTGCTCGCTCCACATCATGCTTCTTCCTCCCCTCCTCCGCCCTACTCCTTCCCTCATTTTTCTATCCTGTTTTCCCTTTCCTCCGCCCCCTTTCCCATGCATCCTCTATCGTCCTATCATTCCTCTTCCCTCACACCGAGATATGCAACATGTATTCCTTTCATCGCTCCTCCAGAGCTGGGTGAAAGACGAGAGTGGAGGAGCGGGGAGTTGCAGTCTATCCGAGGGGCACGGCTCGATTCAGGGCCTGCCTGACAACGCCAGGAGGCGGAGCGGATTGAACCGAAGGCGACAGGAGGCGGGAGGGGCGAAGCGGAGAGGGGAGGGAGGAGGGGGGCAAGGGATGGATGCGGACGGAGGAGTGGGGGACAGGGGGAGGGGGAGGCAGGGGACGTATAAGGTAGGGGTGGGGGGGGAGGGGAGGATGGAGCCAGGACGCTCAAACGAGGACCGCTAGGTGATCTGGAGGGGCCCTGGCGTGTGGGGCGCTCCCTGGATCCAGGTCGGGGATCCTGCTTGTGGCCGAGCGTCGCCGCGGACAGGAAAACCCTTTTGCTCCTTATGCAGCGTTCCTTGCGGTTACGGAGGATCGCTGATTGGATCGATGAATCTCAAACATTCTCGATCTTCCTCGATCTTCGATCCTATTCCTCCTCGATCCTCCTCCTCCTCCTCCTCCTCCTTTTCCTTTTCCTCCTCCTCCTCCTCCTCCTCCTAAGCACGGGTGCGGGTGCGGCGCGAGCACGGATGGGTGACTTGCATGGCCTCGTCGGGGGTGGACGCTGCGGGCCCCTTGGGCCGTAGTGCCCGCGGGGGCACCTCCTCCCCCAACCCCTTCCTCCTCTGTCGTTGGTCCTCTGAGCTCGCTTGCCGTAAAAGGGGGCCTGCGATGTGGCTCGTCTGGCCGCGGCGGGCGCGCGCTTTATTGTATCGCTTGGGCTCAAGTTCGCGACAGGCCTTTGGAAGAAATTAGCGAACACGCGTGCCACATCCATCTGTCAATGCCCCCCCAATGATCAACGTTGGCGGTTGGCTCATGAGTTGCACGTCCACGGCAGTCGTGCCCGCGCGTGCCAACTCTGAGTTTTGGGCAGAGGGGGAGTGCCCCCACTGATTGCCTCCCTCTGCCTGGGGCGCGGTGCCTGCGGGGGAAGCAGTGGGCTGGCCAGTGCTGCAGCACGCCCGCGCAGGAGGTGGGGCTGCGCGAGTCTTCGGGCGGTCCCGCGGCGAAGGCCGCCGCCGGGCCCGTGCCGCCCCCCCCCCCGCCTCATCCCCCGGAGGAGGGAGAGGGGGGCCGAGAGAGAGATGGGTTCTACACCCCCCCCCCTCCCTCCATCCATCCCCCTCTCCCCCTCCCCCTCCCCATCCCTCCGTCCTCCTCCCCGTCCCTTTTCCTCCCTCCCTCCCCCCCGGGGTGAGAGGGGTGTGGGGGAGGAGGAGGAGGAGGAGGAGGAGGAGGAGGAGGAGGAGGAGGAGGAGGAGGAGGAGGAGCAGGAGGAGGAGGAGGAGGAGGAGGAGGAGGAGGAGGAGGAGGAGGAAAAGGAGGAGGAGGAGCGTAGAGGAGTGGGGAGGAGTGGGGAGGGTGGGGGGGAAAAGGAGGGAGAGAAAGGAGGGGCGGAGGACCAAGGAGGGGGGAGGAGGGGCGATCATGATCATGATGACTGTGGTCGCTGGTGTGGACGGTCACGATGATGTTGGTGAGGGTGATGAGGACGATAATGGCCATGATGGTTACGATGGTTATCGTGATGGTGGTGACGATGTGGATGATGTTGCTTATGTGGAACATGCTGCAGATACTGATGTTGATGGGTACGATGGTAATGGTGGCGGCGATGATGACACGTGTGCGGCAGCAGATTATTCTGATGATGGTGATGAGGGTGTTGCTGATGATGACGTCGGGGAGGAGGAGTACGTACGACGAGGTCGGGGGCCCGCCCACTGTCGCTTGCCGCTGCGCCGCCCAGGGTGGCGAGCCCGCCGCGGGCGACCGCTCGCGGGCCCGCGAGCTGGAGGCGTCGGGGGGGGCGGCGGGCGGGCCGTGCTGGTCTCCCTCCAGGGGGCGAGGACCCAGACTTCGGGCGCATGGAATTCCTCAACCATCCTCGTGTGTCGGGTCATGGCTTTGAAGAGAACGCCGCGCTTCACCTCGCTCTCCTCCCCCCTCCTTCCTCCCATCCCTGCCTCGGCCCTCCGCGCGCGTCTCGTGGTCCCATGGTGGCTTCTCCTTCAGGGGGATTCTAGGCCTCCCAGATGGTGTCCGAGCAGAGGGGGTCGGAGTATCGCGTCGCATCGCCGATGCATCGGCGATGCGGCTTGATGTGGAGCTCGGCTTTCTCCACGCCGACCGCCGCCGATGCATCGGCGATGCGGCACGGCCCTCCGACTCCATCTGCGCGGACCTCATTTGGGAGGCTTCCGGGGGCGAGGACCCAGACTTCGGGCGCACTGTTTTTTCAATCCTGGCGCCCCTCCTTCACGTCGGCCTCTCAGAGCCGTTGTCGGGCCCCAGGACCATCGTAAACGCATCCGGGAGGGAGCACTACCCTTGGGGAGGTGGTCGAGACCTCTTCTTGGTGTCGCTCGGACGTGCGTGAATTTGTCCAGCAAGGACCATCGAGGAGCATGTAAGGTCATCTTGCGAAAAATGCACGGGCAATGGACGTCCGAGCGATGGCGAGTCTGGGGACCGCGGATTGGAAACATCAATCCATCGGATGTTTGGGGTGGGGGGACGATGGGAGCCGGCTTGGGCTGGGGGGGGCTTAGGTGGCCCAGCATTGGCTCCGGCCATCAGAGACGGGTCAGCAAGGAGCGCCCTCGTCGCGGACGCGGCTCGAAGAAGTTGCCAGTTTCGACCATGGGCGGGGTCTGTGAGCGATTTTGTGCGAATGTGCCCCCCCCCCTCCCCCCCCCCCCGACCGTAGGAGGAGGAGGAGGAAGAGGAGGAGGAGGAGGAGGAGGAGGAGGAGGAGGAGGCCCGGCGCCCGCAGATATGTACGGAGTCGCTGTGGTAGGTATTTCAGATACTCAGTTGGAGTCGCAGCGTGCTTCCACGGCGGCAGCGCTTGTTGGCCCAGCCAGGGGCAGGAGCAGGAGCCTGCAGTGTCTTCTGACAGGTTGAGAGATTCGGCCCGATGTTCCAGGCAGATTTGCTGCCGCAGCAGGTGTGGTTCAGAGCGTGTTTCGACTTGTGGGCGCCGCAAATCCAGATGCGCAAGGCGTTCGATTACGCAGCGAAAGTTTTTTAATGGCTTCGCTCATTCCGCCGGCCCATAATGTCGCACCGTGGTCGCCTGTCCGAGTGGTCGTTGGCAGTGTGGAGCTGCGGCGTCGGGAGCCGAACGCGGGGGAGGAGGACCACCCCGACCCGCGTTTCCCAAGTCGCGTCTGGCTGGAGTCTTGGAGGCGTCCTGGGGGCCTCCTGAGGGTTTTTTGGAGGCCTCCAGAGGGCCTTTTGGAGGCCTCTTGAGGCCTCTTGGCGGCCTCTTGGGGACCTCTTGGGGCCTTCGGGGGCGTCTTGGGGCCTCCCGGGAGCCTCTCAGGGCCGAGAGCTCGAAATTCTGTTTCGCGAACCCCCTCTTGGGGCGTTCTTGAAGCGTTCTTGGGGCCCTCTTGGGCCGTCTTGGAGGCTTCTTGGGCCGTCTTCGAGCCCTCTTGAGCCATCTTGGGGCCCTCTTGGGGGCCTCTGGGGCCCTCTTGGGGCGATCTTGGGGGCCTCTTGGGCCGTCTTTGGGCGTCGGGAAGCCGAAAAGGTGGAAACTCCAAAATCTCTCAAAAACCTAAGGAAAAGCAATGAATTTTGCCTCCTGGGGCCCTCTTGGGAGTGCTCTTGGAGGCCTCTTGGGGCGTCTGGGGGCTATCTTGGGCGTCTTGGAGCGATCTTGTGGCATGTCGGACCCCTCGTGTACCATCTTGGGGGCCTCTTGGGGGCCTCTTGGCCTTTCTTGGGGCTCTCGGGGACGCCTCGGAGCCCTGTTGGTGCGCTCATGGAGCGCTCTGGTGGAGTCGCCCGGGGATCAGCCGGGAGTCGCCCGGGTTTTTTTTTCGTCCGGGGACCCCCAGGGGCCGCCCCGCGCGCGCGAACTAGAGAATTGTTAACCAGTTACCGGAGATCTTAGCACGCCTCTGGCCCGTTGGGCCGGCGAATTCATGTTGGGTGGAGGACGGTCCCAGGCCCAGAGGGAGCGGTCGTGCAGACCCTCCGCAGACTCCAGTGGGAGATTCGTGCCTGGGATGAGTGGGTCACGTCGGATGGTATTGAAGTCCACGCTCAGGAGATACGGCGTAGGACTGTCCAAGCCTGTCTGATGAAGCGACGAAGCTTCTGCTGCGATTGCGAGCAGGTCAATAGCACTCAGGGGTTCAACGGGGGCCCTACATAGAGCCTCTACGAGCTGAACTTGCTATATTGAGGGACCTGCGAGACCAATTGGGAGCTAGTCTTTTGGTTGCGCAGGCCTCTGGTGGGCTGTGGACGCAGACGACGGTTTTTCGCAAAAGGTTTGTGCTCGACTATAGGTGCTAGTGGTGCCTGCAGGAGGTTGGGACCATTTTTTCCGTTTGTGGGGGATGCTATGCTTCTAGTAGGATCAAGCGCGACTTTGTTCACAGTTCTATGTCCAGGATTGCCTGTGCTGCCGACCTCGACATTCTGTGGATTCGTGGTCTCATCAATTCTCATAGAAACAGTTTCCCAAGTATTCTCCAAGGGGCTGGGTATAGATGGATTGTGAATCCACAGTAGGGGGTCCTAGGATATACTCTGTATATCTGGATCGGCGTACAATGGGGACATCAGGTGGCTATCAGTGCTGGTTGGATGCCTTCGCACATGTCGAAGGCGGCAGCCACGAGAAGGGGCTCCAATGCTATCTCGGCAACAGAGAGGCAGACTCGTCGGCGAAGCAAGGTGCCAAGGCGCACCCGATGAATTCTCATATTCGAGATCGGTTGCGCCATCACCATGATCAGGTTACGTTCCTGGCCAGGTGCATGTCGGATGTTCTGAACTATCACCACCCACCAAACCACCCCAACCCAACCCGAAGGCTCAGATTTACCCTCGATTTCCAGTTGGGGGGGGTCGGGAAACATCGAAAAAACACGTGTGGAACCCTTACCCCCCCCAACCCGAAATTCGGGTCTTCGGGTTGGGTTGGGGTGGTCTGGTAGGTAGCCAAACTATGTGCACAACCTGGGGTGTCCTGATGTGTCAAAGTACCAGGAGAGGATCAAGGGATAAAACAAGGAGTAAGAAGACGAATTTGGAGGCCCCGTGTTTGGAGTTGGTCCCAGACAGTAACTGTGTCACGCCGTTTTTTCGGTTCCCAAGGGTGGATCGGGGGTTAAGGTGCGTGGTCTTGGGCGGGCGTCCCGGGCTCGGCTCATCCAGCGCCACCACTGCCCAGGGTTCCCGAGAGTGGTCTCCAAGGCGCACCCCGGCCACCGTCTCTGGCATAATGATAGCGTGTCTTGGTGCATTTCTTGCGGAACCTCTGCCCGCCAACAGGTGAAAGAGCTAGCGCGGGAGCGCCCGAGAGTTCCGAGCGCCGAATGGACACGTAGAACTTCAATGGGTTTCAAGCAGGGTAGAGGCCCTTCGAAAAGCGCCTGTCCTGTGGCGATTCCAGTGTGCTTGGCGGCAAGCCAACTAAAGGAGGCGTTTGAGCCCCTGGCCACCGCGTGCATCTTGCGTTGTCGGGGTGCTCGCTGGGAAGCGCAAAAACGCAAGAGGGACAGGAGGAAAGGGAGGAGGAGGGGGAGGAGGCGGGGGATGAGGAGGAAAAGGAGGAGGAGGAGGAGGGGCGAGAAGAAAGTCTCCTCCGGCTGAGGCGCGGCCGGACCAAATGATTCCTTTCCGGGGGCCGGTGGCCCGCGGTGTCCCGCCGGTGTCCCGCCTCCGGCTGAGGCGCGGCTGGACCAAATGATTCCTTTCTGGGGGCTGGTGGCCCGCGGTGTCCCGCCAGTGTCCCGCCGGTGTCCCGTCGGTGTCCCGATGATGATGCTGATGTCGATGATGTTGATGATGATGATGATGATGATGATGATGATGATGATGATGGTGATGGTGATGATGATGATGATGATGGTGTCCCGATGATGATGATGATGATGATGATGATGATGATGATGATGATGATGATGATGATGATGATGATGATGATGTTGACGATGTTGATGATGAATGATGGTGGTGATGATGATGGTGTCCCGAGATGATGGTTTGACGATAATGTTGATGGTGAGATGTGTCCCGATGATAGATGCTGATGATGAGTTGATGATCCCGAAGATATTGATGATGATTAATGATGATGAGATATGAAAAGAACACTGATGATATGGTGTCCCGAACGATCATGATTGATGAGTTTATGATGTTGATGATGTGATATGATGTGTGTCCCGATGGTGATGCTTGACGATGATGTGATGGTGTCCCGATGATAAGTTGAGATAGGATGATGTGATGGATGATGATGCTTTTATGATGGTGGCCCGATGATAGTGATGATATGCTGATGATGATAAGGTTCCTGTCCCCAAGATGATATAGGTGATAAAGATATGATGATGATAAGTGACATAACGTTGGTGTCCCATGATGATGATGATGTTGATGCTGATGATGTTGCTGATGATGATGATGGTGTTCCGATGATGATGTTGATGATGATGCTCATGATGATGACGATGATATGATGATGAGGTTGATGATGACGGTGGTTTTCCGATGATGATGATGGTGTCCCGATGATGATGTTGATGATGATGATGATGGTGACGATGATGGTGTTTCGATGATGATGATGATGATGTTGTTGATGCTGATGTTGATGATGGTTGTGATGAGGTGATGATGATGATGGTGTCCCGATGATGATGATGGTGATGATGATGATGCTGATATTGACGACGTTGATGACGATGATGTTGTTGATGATGATGATGACGTTGATTGTGAAATGGAGAGTGATATCGATCGTGATATCGATAGTGAGACCGAATGTGAG